ATAGTACATGCATATTACTAAAATAACTGACAGATATACTGATATAACAGACGTTCACTATTTGTGAACTCTGCTTATCAGTGATTGTGCGCACATTAGATAAATTCTGCCATGACATTAGCATAGTTTTACATTGTGCACAAACACAAATAAAAGCACACTCGAGTGCTCACCGTAAGTCCTGGCTCTTTTTGCAGGTATCACACATTCCTGAGTTGGAAGAGATAGTGGGGGCTCTGAAAAACTTTCCTATAAAGATTTAAAAAACACACACACACACACACACAAAATCACTCATCTACATTAGCTACTACAGGCTTTATGTGTGAATGCATACAACACAAAGTTCAAGTCAGTGTATTACTCACTATTCCAGGTGAAAGGAGAGTTGGTACTTGTCTGTTTGGTTTTTGTGAAAGAATCACTGCAGTTTGGGTGTGGTAAACTGGTGCACAATATGGACGTTGCTACACAGTAACTTCCCTTTAGTTCTACTCTATCTCCCTTTTATTCTACTGACCCAGCTCTGACCTCTGTGGGTGGCTCGATTTCTATACGTCTCATGGTCATAAGATTTACACCACAACTCTTCCTGGCACTTACTGTCAGGGAAGATTTTGTATTTTGGATAAGAACATTTTAAATAGTTTATTTTATTATGCATAGTTTATTTATTAAAACTGCCAATATAAACAAAACAAATATGCTTTAAACCCTTGTCATTAAGTGCAGATCATCAAGTAAATAACTGCTTTAGAGAGTACAAAAACTTAGAATAATGATGCACAAATTTTCTTTCTCTGAATACAGCACTTCTGTTTTCCTTGCCTCCCTGTTTCTTCTGTCATCACTAAGAAAGACTTTCCAAGTCCCTAATTACTTGATCTCTAGGACTGCCCCCTAATAGTCGACTAATCCTTTTTTAAATTGGCCTGTATCTTTCAACATATTTTTTGATGTTTGTTCATGTTTATTTCGTTCTGTAACGTAGTAAAGAGGAAGGAATTGGATCGCGTTCACTCGCAATCTCAAATTTTGTGGTGATTGCATAAAGTAATCAAAAGTTACAGCATTTGGAACCAAGATAGTCTTTTTGTTCAGTCCTTGATGCCCCCTAATGGGCATTTTTAAAATCGTTCCTCCATGAGGAATATCTTGTGATCAACGCAATAGATTACTTTGTACTGCCGGTGGGACAATTGGGGTTATACATATGCGATTAGTCAACCAATCGCTTAAATGAGTGTCTAATAGTCAACTAAAAAATGTTTAAATCGAGGGGAGCCCTATTGAACACTGCAACCAATATGTTCTTCTAGAAACCGGTCAAGTCAGTCTAACTGGGTGTGATCCTGAAGTGGAGGCAGCAACTCACGTCTTTCTCAGTGAAGTCCCTAAGCAGTCTGCAGAGGTGCTGTTGCTCTGTCGCCTTAAGAGCAGCACAGAAGCTGCTAAATGCCCGAGGGCCACGTTTGGGCAAAAGAAACAACAAATGGCGACTCTTGCCCTGGGACGTCGATTTAGCCTGAAAGATTCAAATCATGCCAAGGTTAAAAATAATTGAAGCATTATTTATGAGGCTTTACACTAGAGGTCAGATTTTCCCAATAACGATAGCCAAGTTGGTTGATTAATTAACCAATAGCCAACTGATACTGAATCAAAACATAAGTGCTGAATTTAATGCAAAAATAAAGAGCATTGACTGAACCATGACAGTGTATTGAACTTTTGAAATAAAATATAGAAATGATCATATATTTAGTGAATTAATCCAAAACAATTAAAATAATGTATATGTGGACGTGACTTCGGAAACTTTGCAGTGTCTGTGTGGCCGTTGTTCCTCTTAGCAGCATGAAAAACAAAACTTTTTTTAATATATATATATATATATATATATATAAAGTGTGGAAAGAACAGTCTCTTTGTAATCACTAAAAAGCTGTCACTCATTTCTAGGGTTGGGTCTGGTTCAAACATTTTCCCTTTTCAATACTCTAGAGGCAATTTTGTCGGTGTAAAATATAGATGAATCTGTATTAAAGTTACAAAAGCTATTCAGTCAAGATCAGGAAGTGATTTTCTTTTTTGACCGATTTACAGGTTTATTTTAGGCTGCTGTCACTAAGACCCAATGAACAAATAACATAAAAAAACTGCCACACATGCGTTTTCTTTCCCAACTGTTTAGGTTCACTTGAGACATAACCTACTGTTGTTTAAGTAGGATATTTTTTATTTATTATGATATTTATTCTGTTCACAAAAAATAGCTCAATAAAATTTTCGCGACTTCTTTGGTTTGAAAGGATTAAAAATCACATTAAAATGCGCACACAGGAATCGATAAGTGGAATCAAAATTTAAATTTTATAGCAAGTATTCGATTCCACAATTGGAATCGATTTGCGATTCCCAACCCTACTGAAGAGATCAACAAGCATGTCTACGATTGGCTATACTGCTCAATGCTAAAACACTTTTTAAATAGAAACCTTTGTTGATCTCCAGAGGGCAAATACAAATACGCACCGGACAGTTTGCCAAATGTGATTAACTAATATGCACCCTCTAGTCCCCGTAGAACTCAACCCTGTTGAAATTGTTATATTCAATTGAATGTACTCTCTTTTAAAGCATATTGTGATTAGACTAGTAAAAAATAAAAATATGTATTACAGTGAAGATTTTTTTTTTTTTTTACTGAAATCAGATGCGTTCCTGACTTGTTACGCATCTTTCGGCTGCAGGAACATATCACTCACGTCACCTTGCAACTTAGCTGGCTAACAAATGCCAGCTGTATATAAACTAATGCATAAAGACCGTAATTATAATGACATTTAAACGTTTGTATTTTTTGTCCCATTGTTCTAATCACTCGAGGTACCAATGTTAACGCCCTCTCAGCCTTGTTGGCAGACAACTGCTCTTCTCTACTAATGCAGCATATAGGATTTTAAGATATGCCAGCGTGCTCTGTAGTTTACTTTATACAATCACAATTAATCACAATTATTTTGCTCAAAATTATAATTTATTTTATTAAAAACGGTTCCTATACACTTAAAAAACGTGTAGGTGGAACAAATTCATTTAACCAACGAAAATGACATAATACAAAACTCGTGGTTTTGATGAGCGCTTTGCGATCTGTAGTTTGTTTGATTTTCTAAGCGACACAATTCGTTTGCACACAAGGCAAACCACAGCTTAAAATCGGTTAAAGTGTTGATTACAGCATTCCCTTTTGAATTTAAGTTGCAATATTTTCTGTTTACAATTTGCAGTGATTTCATGTGGATCTAAAATTACGCTTTACACTTACCATTATGCTCTCTGCCATGTTTTCTGTGAGGATTCCATCTTGTTGCAGACACTGGATCAGAAGATCATCCACCACTAAATCCTGCAGCATCATGACAGAGTTCTTTCTGAGCGCTAGCCTCTCCCATTCTTTCATCCCACACTCTCCCAGCATGATGAACCGCTAAATTAATAACAGACATAAGTTACAAAACATTCATTGTAACAAAGTTTATATAAAACAAACTTTGGTTTTTGTTTACTGTAAAACAATAACAGATATAAAAAATATAAATCTAGACATATAAATATCAAATTATAAAAAATATATACATAACATAAGCAACTGGTCATTTATTATTATAAGGAAAATGAAGCGTATTCAAAGTAACATTATAAGACTGCATTGTAACATTACTTCATTTTTATTAATTGTTTATGAAGTACTGAGATCCCAGTAGTATTTGTTGTGGTGATGGTTTCAAATGATATCAAATTAAAACTATTTTATTATAGTTACTTCTTTAGTATTGACAAATAATGATAAAAAAAAAAGAATTTAAGAATTTAATTTAATTTCTTTTTTACTTTTTATATATAGAGATTTTGGGGTGAAAGTGACCTTTCCCTAACCCGAATCACATAAAATTACAAGTTCGCACACACACACACACACACAGGTGAGGAGTGTCAACTGATCTAACGTTACATGCCTTCACACACCGTTCTGCTAGTGTCTGTCTGCTAATGCTAAAGTTACAAGCCAAGGTTCACTTTACCTGTTGTGCTAAAGCCCTCGTCGTGTGAAGATGGCAGTAAAAGACACTACACGAATGACGTATGAAGGATGATGTTGATTTGAAGTAAATCCAGAATTATGAATACCAACTCGCGCTGCGACTAGCTTAGCATGCTAATCAAAACAAAAACACAATCACAACTGTCAATATAAAACACGTCTGACAGCATAAAAGCAGAACAGCTATTAAACTGCAGCTCAAATCGCTTTTTTTTACCCTTTCCGATATCAAGTTGGCGACCAATAAAAAAATAAACTAAATTAACAACGAGCTACACAATACTATTATTAGCTGTCAGGTGCTAGCGCTTCATACGAGCTTTGTTTTTCTAGATGCGGAATTCGTCCTTTTAAACTTCATTGTCTCTTTGTTTTTCGTCGTTGTTCACGAGGCTACACGCGGAACGACAGAGTTTGTGCTGAAAAACGGACGAGTATTTTAAAATATAACTGACAGTACGCCGATTCTCTCTGTACAAACTTCCGCGGGTCCTGATGCAGCGAGGCAGCCAATCGGCATTGTGTGTGAAGATGATTGACGCGAGCAGCAGCCTATCACAGCCCCGTCCGCCCACTAAAGGGACTGAAATCAGGCTGATATTGATGTTTAATACACTTATTTGAAATTTTAAACTTGAAAGTTGTGTAATACCACACAGACGTTTCCATGGTGTAAAATTAACATTAAATACCACCAGCAGCAGTACAAGACTAATTTCTGTTCACTGAGCAGTCAATTTCAAGTTTTCATATTTCCCAGACTTTTTCAGTATAAATAAATGCAATAAATCTAATAAATCCTAGACTGTTTCAGTCACAGTACAACCTCAATCTTGTCAATCCTCGAGAAAAAAAAAAAAATGTGTGTGCATACATAAAAGTGCATACACAATTCAGTAATCAAACACTTTATTCATACTTTCCAAAGCACACAAAATGAATGTTTTCACACTAAAATTGTAAAGAACACAAAAACAGTTGCAAGAACAGTAAAGTCACCTCTTTTCACAGGCCTGTATCTCATGAAGCACACCGGAATAACATCAAGTCAAATGCGTCATACCTTTATGCTATTAATATGGACTCTTATTTATTAAAGCAAAGCATTTCTAATCTGATACTATAGAAGTGCTTTTCAAAGAGTCTCTAACTCACCTTTAGACACAGACCAAAACTTAAATGGTACATAATAGTAGAGCACCTTATAACTATCAGCTTTGTTTCTCCTGATCTTGTAAATAGTTGTAATGCTATGATCTATAGCTCAAAAACAGGAGTGTTTATGCTCATTTATGATGATCTCAGCACCTCAAGGGCATAAAGAAAATGAAATGACTCCACTAAAAACAAAATCAAGCTTAAAGCATCAGTGCATTCAAACACATGATACATTAACAAAAGTGTAGAAAGAAAAATATACTGCTGCTCTGTCTTAATCTGAAATTTTGCACTGTGGTTTCCACTGAGGCTTTACAGTAATTCCTACTGTATGAAATAGATTCCACAGTCAAAGAATCACATTAATATTTGCAACATCAAAAAGTCAAAAAAAGAACAAAACCAACCATATGGAAACGCATTTCCTTTCAGATTTTCTTTGAAGTTGTTTCACTTTAACTGTTAATTGTTGTCAGCGGTAATGCGCCACAGATGACTTTCTCCAAGAATACTCTTTTCCTCAAATATATCCAATTTATCGTTAATAACATATTTCAGAAACATTATAACAGGCTGAAGAGGTAGGCCTGATCCTTGTGTAACTTCTCCACACTAACATAATATTCAATTTGGAATGTAAAGCGAAGCATATTTGTGAGTACAGTTTTTCAAATAAACAATTTCAGTGACTTTTTGGAAAATTCTGAAAAAGAAAATTCATGTTTAACATTGATTGAGTTGGAGCATGAGCTTAAAAAACTTCATTTCAGTTTAAGCAGACATTGATTAACCATTCAAATGGAAATAAGTACTTGTACTTTATACCAAACTACATCTAAGTGGTGACCATATCACACAGTCAAGCAGCATCGATGTCTTTTACTACCTATAGACTGAAAACAGGGGCATCAAATCTATCTGAGGGACTTTGGATTTCTGAATACTAGTTAGCAAACACCAAATTAACATTTTAAGGGATAAACAGAGAATAAGTGCTATTGGGAAGTAAAAAAAAACAGCAGCACTTCTGAACTAGGAACACGCCTGCTGAATTGAACATCTCTCTTTGGGTTTCAAAACCATAAACTGTCCAGCCTCTGTTCATTGGTTGTTATGATTTGGTCACATGGGAAGTAAATGGTCATCCCTTTCTTCTGGCTCCTCCCCAAGAGGTTCAGTAGCCACACCTCTGTATGTGGGGGGTTCCTCTCGGTTACCACGGGATCGGCAAACGAAATCACATCCGTCCTGTTAGGGTAATAAAAGGGTATATTTGGTTCATAAAAGGAAAAAAAGAATGACTGAAACAGGAGACAGAGACCTATATACGTATTTACACCTACAGCAGATAAGTTGCCGATCTGTGACCAAAAGGCATAGTTGGGGAACTGTTCAACTCCCTTGGCTCCAACTACCAGTCGCTGATAGAGGAATCCACCGGTAAGATACAAAGCCAGGCAGGAGAATACACTATGAACAGCATACAGGAACATTACATGTAAAGTATGTGCAAAATACATGAATGTTTTGCCACTAATGGTGTGATGATCTCTCTGACAATGTTGAAGCACTCACACAATAAGGAATATGGAGCCGCCACTGAGTTTGGATGGGGTTTTTTGACAGAGTACATCAGTGTCCAGCTCAAACAGGTAATAACAGCCCTCTTTTTTCTTATTGTCCTCCAAAACCACAAAAAAGTCATTCTAACAAAACACAAAGCAATAAATGATTAATAAGAAAATGGTAAGTTGATTAGGTTATTCTGGCTATTGTCATGCTAAAAGCTACACTATCTTGCATATCTGAGATAATTGTTTAGTCTAAAAGTGACAATGCACTAATGCTAGTAGCCAGCCAGGGCTTGACATTAAGGGGATACTCCACCGTTTTTTCATATTAAACTATGTTATTCCCTCAACTAAGACGAGTTGATCCATACCTAGATCGGCATTTTAACCTTATTTTGTGTGTATTTGACCGTTTACGCGCAGTAAGGAGCGAACACAAAGCTTTAAGGTGCGATGACAAAATCTGCGGGAATGAGTAAAAATTTTCCCAAAATTCAAGCACTTTACCACCAACAATATTCATCCGGAGCAAAAGAAACGCATGAGTGAGGGAAGGCGGGTTTGTTCTACGAAAACTAAAGTAAACACAATTTTTTTAAACAAATGTACATAACAAAACTACTAAAACACGAAAAGTGTTTCTGAACTGTCACTATTGTCATTTAATGCAACAAGGATAGCCAAAGTCAACAGATTTTACAAATAGACCTACCAATCCCTGTGTAAAAATAAAATAATGATGCTGCCATGTTTCTTAAGTTATTTTTTTGGAAATTCGTCACTCTGACCCCACTCTACAAAACATATCAATCCATGGCATTTAATATTTTGGCTTTCATCACTTGTAAAAAATATGAAAAGTTTCTGAAATGTGGTTGTTTGGACACAGAATGACCGACAGTCCTGCTCAGCTGAAAAGGTTAAACATTTTCAACTTCAATTCAACGAAGTTGAAAATGAATATGTGCAGGTGATCCCACAATTCCAAACAACCATTTCCACTGAATATATCTCAACAAGCAATCTATGCCATATTCAAAGGATAAAAAGTTCATACCTTAGCATTTCCGTTGCATGAAATCATAATCATGGCTTTTCTTGCCTCTCCTGAACAGTGGTTGTCATAATTCTTACCCCCCTCATAGATTAACAAAATCCAGTCACCTGCACCAGGAATAAAAGCAGATCTATTGTAGAAAATGAGTTAACAAGTTTCCTGTGACACCTGTAATAATAATTTAATAAAATTTGATCTGTGTATTATATGTGTTGTTGCAAAAGAACAATGTAATTCATGTATGGAAATGTAATTCAATTGGCTTTATGCCCAGTTGCACTACTTCCTGAACTTCAGCCAGCTCCTTGTTTCCTGTCTGCCATTATTGGGCAAACTTGATTAATTCAGGTGTGTCTGATTATTGTTGCCATGACTACTGAGGTCAGGCACACCTGAATTAATCAATTTGTCCAATAATGGCAGACAGGAAACAAGAAGCTGGCTGAAGTTCAGGAAGTAGTGCAGCTGGGCATAAAGCCAATTGGAAAAAGATACTGAAGACCATAATGGGTTCAGAAAAGTCCACCTGTAGTAAAAAAAGAAACAAAAGCAGGCACGTCATTCTAGAGGTCAAGCAACGTAACATACTTCCTTTAATGGCTCGTGTTTGATTGTAGTTCCCAATTCGGACCAGCACATCAGGTTTCTCAGTTTTCTGCACAAGACCTGCATTCTTCATTCCGGCAGCATCTCCACACACCTGAAAAATGTACGAATATGGTTCCCCATCTTTTCCTTTCACGGTGAAGCTGTTCAGAGTGAATATGAGGATAGTTAGGGAGTTGACACCTTTAATAAGACCAGCACAACCTGCAAACATGAATGCAAGACTACTGTAACTTGCAAAAAGCTGGTTTACCTTTGATTGGTGAGAGGTTCTAGCAAAATGAGCGCATTTTTCTCAGATTCGCTGGATGAAATGAGCTGGCAGTTGTCCGTGTTGAGCTTAGCTTGCACTCCAGCAAGTAGTACAAAAAGAGGAGTGATTATTCTCACAGACAGCAACATGACTTTCAGAGGTGATGCCTGATGGGAAAGGGGCATTAAATAAACGTGTCAGTGAATGTCTCTATCGACTGAATGACGCCTGCAATCAGTACATAAAAACCCATGACAGAATTGTGGGCAGTGTAACAGTAGCATTACACAATACAGAATATATACACATGTAATGCATATTGTATTATACAATCATGTGTTCTGTGATTAGTAAAGAGCTCATGAACAACAATTTGACAAACGGTGTCCTTTTTCTTGGTTAACTTCAATCACTTTTGGTCTCTTATAACATATTGCATATTTTATATCATTTTATTCAGCTATTAGTTATTTTTTACTGTCCACTTCACAAATACAATAAATCAAAAACTCTGAAATATTGTCAAATATTTTTGCTCAAATATGATTCATATTTTAGCTAGCTACCATAACACTATAAAAGGGTTAAAAATGAATGTCATGAGTATTTTTTTCAAGTATACGTCATATTTATAAAGACCACAGAATGAACCCATTACTTTATTTCGAAAATACAATTTTATAAAACTCGAGGAAAATTGCAAACTGTGCATGTTTACTAACGTTACAACGCCTGGTTCTAATGCCAAACACGATGAAATAATCTGTACGTGATATTACTGAAAACGGTCCGAAAAGACAAAAAAACTTAAACTGCATCGATCAAAGTTCAAATTACGTTAAGCAATGAAGCAAACGGTAATTAATAACTTTAATTAGGAAACCACATACACAAGCTGCTGTTAGCATAAGCTGCCATCTTTATTATGTAGGCAAATAAATAAATGCACAAAGTTAAACATTAACGTACCTTTCGGAATTTTTATGACAGTGTTAACTGTAGAAAAATTAAAAGTGGAAGGTCTCAACTAGTTGTCAAGATGTGGACACCCAGCCTGGGGTTCTTCTTTCCAAAAGTGTCGCACTAGAATTGATGTCCTTAAACAATACTTAACGACATTCTATCAAAATATACGGTAGTATCGATAATTACACAGTGAATAAACAAACTTCGGACAATATTAGCGTTAAAACAATTGCATAATTTAAAGGATTTGTCTGTTTCTGTTCAAACGCGGAAGTGAAACTAAACAGGCGCCACATGTGACTGTGCATGACGCGGAAGCTGATGATGCGCTGCTGCACGTGAACATGGGATATTGAGTGCAAGTGAATCTAGACGCACCCTAGCGATAGGTCTGGCTTGCCAGGCTATGCAAGTGTGAGTGCTTCCTTATGCCACTGTCAAACTAGTTGATCATCAAACAAGACCTGTTTTTCCCTTACAAGTCTCAGTCAGCTCTCCTGTTTGACTTAGATATTATCGTAGAAGTAAACTACAAAAGATTCAGTTAGGCGAAGAAGTGAGGATGAAAAATAATTTTTATTTTTATAAAGAATAAAGGAATAACAAATGAAGAATAAATTTGAGTAGTGAAGTGAAATGTTGGGCCCTTGAAGCAGAGAGCTAAGGGAACAAGGGCATATGTATAGGAAACTACATCCTCCCTTTGTATAGGCTATGTCAGATATGGGTCAAGTAGATATCCAATATGTCATAATGTCAGGGTGTCCAATCCTGTTCCTGAAATCAACCTTCCTGCAAAATGACCATCGCAGTGCAAACTCTCTTAGGTGCATTCTAAAATAATATAGTATGAGTGTGTGTAGAAATGTAATTCGGACATACTCGCCATGTTGTCATCAATTATGTTGATCTACCATTCATAAATCCTCTCCCGTGGCCTCATGGGATGGTAAAGTGTCCATCTTATGCACACTTCAGAATCTCCCCAGAAGAAGTAGGTCATCCGGGTACTTTTTGCCTACTCTTTTTTGAGTACTATGAATTCGGACATACTTCTTTTGTAACATAGGCTACTGTTTTTTCCCTATATACAGTAGGGAAGTATGATTTGATTTCAGATGCAGCCAAGATCTTCAGGAGCACTTGATAATTACAGACAGGTCAGGGTTGGATCTGGGCCACCCCTGCATGCATTATATGTGTAACAGCATGACCGTTGTGTTTCCCGGTCACAAGTTCTGTCGTTACCAACACAATTCAACAGATCTTGCAGCCATAGTTAGCAATCAATGCTTTTGCACCCCTGGTAAGTTCGAGATTAGTTTGAGCAAACTCTATTTTCTCCATTTGCACGGCTACATCCCGTGCGTACAGTGTGTTTGTGAAGTTTTACCTAAAATACCCCATAGATATGTTCAATTGTCACTTTTCGAGGGTGAGCAAAAATGCTTCGTTTGTGTGTGTGTGTCCCTTTAAATGCAAATGAGCTGCTGTTCGCGGCACAGAAGGCGGAGCTACAACCGCTTGCAAAGACATGCACTGAAAATTTCTGAAAATTTCTAAAACACTTTCAGCCTTTCATGTTCAAACTGGAGTCAGACAAAGATGGAGAGACTCAAGAAGAGGTGACAACGTGTAGGCAACATTTCTGAATGGTTTGTTGATTAATTTATGTAGCTTATGTGTGTAGTTACCTTAGTCACCGATTAGCATATTCTGTCATGATTATCTATCATAGGTTATCTATTCAAGTTTCCCATGCCCCATGAGGCCTTGCGTCAAAAGTGGGCACGTCTTCCGGTTCGAAGTAAACAAAGCGCGACTTGACATGCTTGACACTCATTCATTCAACAGTTGACAGTCATTCAAGTTATAGCGATCCAAACTAGCTAACGATGTGGGAACACAACCTCAACGAAATTAAAAAGGGTGAAATAACAGTACCTTTACCCTCCGCAGTAGTTGATTGGGAGTATTATAATAACATCATTAATAATCAATACTCATTAAGGCATGGTGACAGACAGTTGTGTGAGCTGACAAACAATTAAAATAAAAAATACACACTTAGTCATTGTGCTTTGGAGTTTATTCAAAATTATAAATGAATGTGCTACTTGAATACATTAACTGGCACATTGGTATTCTGTCAACACAGGCTTTGATCCTGAGTTTAGGTGTAACATCAGTAGCGAACAGCCAATCACATGCTGATAGAGTTTATAGAATATTAAGAATTTAAACAAATGTACACAGGAAGATTCGTCGTCTTTTGGGAGGTGATGGAAACTACAGTCGTTGGCAGGATCACTCTGATTTTGTTTTAGGCTTATGTTCAAAACCTCTATGTTCAAAACAATCACATTTAAGCCACTGAATTAGTTTAGTCCGGTTATACGTACAACCGCGAACAGCACATGTTGTCCCTGAGCTCCATAACGACATCTCTCATAAAGGTTTGAGTCTTTAAATAGTAAAATAATTCTCTGAAAAACAGCTAGCCTCTTCGCTAAATAACACACAAAATACCATTGGAATGCTACTTCCGCTACTGCTACTTCCGAAAGCATAGGATTGTGTTATATTAAAGGTAGCGAAGAAGGATACATCTATGCTGCCTTCATACCCGATCAGATGAAGGTATCTCAGCAGACAGGAAGTGAAACCAACATTGAATTCAACCTTCATGCCGATTGCAGCTCTGTAATGAACGGCAAGAATAGATAGACTAAAATATATATGCTTTGTGGTTTTGACACCTTTAGAAGAAAGGAAGCATGCACAGCAAGCATTTTTATACACATTCGAGTCTTTAAAAGCACTATTTATGGAGAAGCACATCTGGTACATTGAACTATCAATTATATTTTTATATTTTATATGATTTTTATAAAATATTTTTGTGATACTTGTTAACTAACCAACTAACTAACCTTTTTGGGTGTCAGGATATGCTCAATCTTAAAGGAGTAGTTCACTTAAAAAAAAGTTTTGCTGATAATTTACTCACCCCCATGTCATCCAAGATGTCCGTGTCTTTTTTTCTTCAATCGAAAAGAAATTAAGTTTTTTGATGAAAACATTCCAGGATTTTTCTCCATATTTTTCTCCAAACGGTCCAAAAAACAGTTTCAGTGCAAACTGCAAACTGTCCAAAGGGCTTTAAACGATTCCAGACGATGAATAAGGGTCTTATCAAGCGAAACGATCTCTCATTTAAAAAAATAAATAACAAAGTTTAAGTTTTTTGACTCGAAAAAAATGACTTGAAAAAAGATTTGTTCATTTTAATGAACGCGTTTGAACAGGAGAGTCACGAACGCGCATCACAGAACAGAGCAAGGCGAGCGTTTGAGCTTAAAAACTTTTTGTTATTTTTATTTATTAAATGAGCGATCGTTTCGCTTGATAAGACCCTTATTCATCATCTGGAATTGTTTAAAAGCCCTTTAAACAGTTTGTAGTTTACACTGAAACTGTCTTTTGGACCTTGAACCGTTTGGTTCCCATTAAAGTGCATTATTTGGAGAAAAATCCTGGAATGTTTTCATCAAAAAACGTAATTTCTTTTCGACTGAAGAAATGGGGGTGAATAAATTATCAGCAAAAGTTCTTTTAAAAGTGAACTAGTCTGATTAAAAGTATTTGATTAGTTTCTTGCAGTCTTCCCAAATTAGTCGTCTTTTTTGCCTTACAATAGAACATGTTGATGATTGATCATTTGTCTTAACCTTTGTCCAGGACATTTCATTGATTTGTATCAGCTTTGTTTAGATTAAGTTTTTCATGTTTGCTTTCAGTTAACAGCACACTCTGGAGCTGAGCTTATTCAGATGGTTCAATGGCAGAAAACTATTTATAACAAAATAATCAATTAAACTTGAGCATTTTTGGATTACAAAGATAATGCTTACAATTTAAAAAATTATGACTGACCACTCAAACATATATAATCTTAAACTAATCCATTTAAACCAGAAATACACTCATTTGACATAATTTGAAAGGCTTTGCACATAAAGAGCAAAAATAAATAGATTCATTATTGTTCCTAATGTGTAATGCAGTTTCCACTGTATTTTACAGATTTTTCTGAGAACTGTTACTTTTTACAGTTAAATAAGCTGCTGACGACGTTAAGGTGTATGGACACATTCATACTTGTCCGCCCCTCCCCCTTTGCTCTCACTCTTTCTCATGCCTTTACCTGGGAAAAAGACACACCCAGCATCAACTCCACCAATCACAGCACACAAGAGAGAAGCAGCAGACTGTGAACTTCCTGTTGCTGTGTTCAGAAGCATGCAGTGCCAGTGAGGGTGAGGGTGAGGTGAGTGAAGGGCTGAATTACTGGAACAAGCTCTAACGCAATCACTGTGTGTCTACTGAGTTAATGAGAAGCAAAGAAAAGCTGCGTGTAAGCTTAAACAGACGTTTACTCTTGGATGCCTCTTCAAGACAGTGCTGGAGGGGAAAAGTAAAAAGAAAACAGAAACAGGAGGAGGGAGGAATATAAGTGTCAATCTGTTCAAACTTGTTTGGGAATTTGAGAAGGGCGGGAGGAGGGGACGAGACAGAGAGAGAGAGAGAGAAACAGAAAGAGAGAGAGAGAGAGAGAGAGAAACACAGTGAGAAACTTGAAAACTATTTTTGATTACATGAACAGATTAAGTAGGACAGAGACAGGCCGGATAATTTAATCAGTGTTTTCAGTGGATCATTTATCTCACTTGACTTTGGTTCTCTCAGTGGGCAAACACTGATATGTGGAATGTCTATGAGTTGTGCAATTCCTGCTAGCTCCACTTTGTCTGGAAAGCAAAGAAAAAGAGGGGGAGAGACAGAGAAGCGTCCCCCAAGACACTTCTCAGGTGAGTCCTCTGCATTATTCCCAAAACTTTATCTTCTGTCCTTTTTTTTCTAACTTTAGTTAAACAAACATGTCCATATCACAGGCAAATGTTGCCATGTCATGTTTGGGAATATGTATCTGTGTTTATGCTGTAGAATTTGTTAAAGCTTTTGTGCGTTAATATAATTCACCACGTCTTGACACGAGTCAGCTTAGTTGAGGCTGTGTTTCTTCAACCCCTCTTAATAGTGTTTTGGCTCTTCCTATGCATGAATTACTTGAAATGCCTCTGAACAAGGTACAAGAATAGCAGTTGGTTCAACTGCATTCTTTGTAAGCACTGATTCGTTATTTAGATGAACTCACAATGCATTTTAACTGCATTAATGTTTCATATTGTGACAGTTCTTATTAGTTAAATTAGTTTATATGAGTGTATACGTTTAGTGTAATTGCCAATATATATTATATAAGTGACCTATTTTACAAGAATGATGTATTTCTGTTGCGTTGTAACTTATCTGGTAGGGTATGGCATAAGAAAAAAATGGCATGTTAATAGGTTCAATTGCTAGGGAATACAAAATCTGATAAAATGTATACTTTGAATCCATCCTAAGTCATTTTGTATAAGCATCTGCCAATGTTAGATATTCAGATCAACACGTTTTTTAAAACAGGCCACGTTAATCGTAACTGTGTAAGCTGCCAAGATGTATCTGACATGTTGCAACAAGATACTGTAAAGTTTTAAAGATTTCCCAGAATATGTTTGACTGTGATCCTCTCGGAATATGAATTTTGGTTGGTTTATTTTTTGACTTTTCACAACATTTCATCCCATATAGGTTCTCTATTTTGACAGACCAAGGACATGGACAGACCAAGAGACAAAGAAAGAGAAAGGGAGCCAGCCTCATATGATTGGACTAGGGAGAGGGAGAAATTTCCTGCAACCAGAAGAAGAGATGGAGAGATTGACGGGAGAGAAAGAGACAGGCGGAGAGATGGAGATCGACATGCAAATGGAAAGTCATCAGTGTCAGAACATGCTGAATATGGAGACCGAGTCAATGAGAGAAAAAAGGGGGACACTTTTCCAAGAATGACAAAACCAAGCAGAGATGGAAGGATGCCACTTTCAGAATATAGAAGGGAGCATCACTTAGGAAGACAGAAAGACATTTTGTATGAAAATGACAGAGAGAGGGAAAGGAGATACAGAGAAGTGGACACGCAGAGTGAAAGAGAAAACACAAGATACAGGGAAGAGTTGAAGAAAAATGAAATGAGAAGGCCCGTGAAGGAGGAGCCAGAGAGACGAAGGGAACGAGATAATGAGTTTGACTCTGGAAGGAAAGAAAGAAGGAGAGAAAGTCACACAGGGGTGGTTGAATTTTCAGGCATGAGGGAAAGAGAGACAGACAGAGAGAGAGACAAACTTAGAAAAAGAGACAGAGAAGACAGGTATTATCCTCGACTCGCGGAACGAGAGATGGAGAGCTTTTCAGATAGGGAAATGAGGACTGATAGACAGAGAGAGGGAGAGAGATCTAAGAAAAGAGATACAAGAAGTGAAGGAGACAGTGATGGAGACAGGGTTAAGGTAAGGGAGAGAGAGGATGCTAAACATGGACACAAACCTTGCAAGAGTGAAGGAGACAGTGATGCAGATCGAAGGGTACAAAGAGTTAGAGAGAGAGACAGACGTAGAGATAGAGAAGCAGAGAGACGGCAAGACGTGGTGATGCCAAGAGAAAGAGATTACCGGGAAGCAGGTTATCGTGATCCAAAAGGTGAAAATTTGGAGCGACTCAGAGAGACTGATAGAATTAGAGACTCCAAAGAGAAAATAATGTACAGAGATGCATACTCATACACAACTGAGAGGGTAGGGTATAGAGATAGGGATAGGTATTCTGAAAGAGAGATTGAAGCGAGGGAGAGGCGAAGGAGAGAGAAAGAGCGAAGTAAAATGGAGAAGAGTAGCGGAGAGCTGATTTCAGGAAGTGTTGTCGAGAATGAACAAATGAGAGAGAGCCCTAATGACAGAGAGCGAGAAAACACTTTTGAGATCGATAAAGAGAAACTGACAGGAAGAAACGAGGAAGAGCGAGAAGTAAAGACTGCACTGAGGGAAGAAGACACTGAGGAAGCAGTTGAAAAGCCAACTAAGATCAGGATACGGAAAATGTGGCTGGAACCTCGAAGTGAGAAGAAAGAATCCAGAGAGAGAGAGAGAGCTAGAGAGATGTACAACCAAAGATACAAAGAAAGTGGTAAAGAAGAAGGACCTGAGGGAAAGAAAGAAAACATGAAAAGGAGCCTTGAGGACAAGTATAGAGAGCTTGAAAGGGCTGGGGAGTTCATGAGGGATGTGGATGTAGAAAGGGAGGAGAAAAGCACGGAAGGGAACGTGGTTTGTGAAGGAGAAGCCCTGGAAACAGAGTGGCAGGTGGAAATGGAGAATGCGACCGATGACATGGAAGAGGAAGGCAACAATAGACACGAGGACTTGGGTAACGGGGAAGGAAGTGAGGGCGAATCGGAACAGGAGAAAGACAGAATGATGTCAGCAGATGATGGATTTGTGACCGTCTCCAGTGGTGGGGATGATGCTGAGGAAGAGAATTTTGAAGACTGCAAAGAATACTGGGATGGTCGAGTTGCTGAAGATGAAACTGCTCAGGGCAGAGAGGTCAGAGAAGATGAAGAACTGGAAAACCAAACGTCGAACGAGAGAGCGGGTCGTAGGCCTCCAAAAGGACCCCTAAAAGTTTTTTGTGTGATTGGTCAGACCCTTCCCAAGTCCCAAACCAAACAGAATGCATATGTGGATACTACTGTTGAGGAAGCAGACAATCAGCATTCAAATCATGATGGGGACAACCAAGGTGAAATGAGCACTGCAAATGCATTTGAAAAGATTAATGAACAAGACATTGAAAGAGCGATTGATGACCTCACTCTTTCTACTAATGAGGACAAAGGGGAGGAAACGGCAATTAATGACCTGGCAAAAGAGGGTGTAACATCACTGGAAGGCCAAACGATTATTTCCAATGAGGCATCAGAAGAAGGCACCCAACTCTTCCCAACACAGCCTTCTGAAACTTTAGGGCCATGCAAGGATAATGGTCATGGGGCTCCAGAAATTTATATTCAGGACACATTACAAGGAGGAGAAAAAGAGGCTACTGGAGAAACAGTGAAGCAGGTCGATTCAGATGACACATGGGGCACAACCGAGGAACGAAATCGATGCTCTACTGCTCCTCATCTTAGATGGGCCAAGGACGTGGTGAAAGAGATCCTGGGTCTGAATGCGGTGGACACAGAAAATACGAGAGGTAGTGTTACACTACACATAGACATGCAATCCAACACACAAACAGAGGGTGAGAGAGAAATGGACAAATCAGGGGAAGAGGAAGAACTAACCGAGGGAGGAGAAAGACAGGGAGGGACGGAGAGAGAGTTGAGTGAGGAACATGACCGGCTTGATCCTAGCTCTATCCAGCACATTGTTTCCTTAGAAGGAGCGGCAGACAGGAAGGTAGAAGAACAAGTTTCTAAGAGGAAAGATTGTAAAAAGGGAGTCGTCCTGAGCTCTAGTAGTTTTCAAGATTTGGGGAATGAGTCTCGCAAAAAGAGGCGAGGGTTCCGAAAGGCAGTGGAGAAAACCAAAGAAGATGAAGAGAATCAGAAAGAAGAGGAGGAAGAGGGAGAAGAAGTTGGAAGGGACCGCAGGACGAGAATATTCAACATATCAGGTGAGAGGAGAATTAACACAAGAAGAGTAAATTGGACATTCAATGAGCCCCTTGCTCCACCCTTGCTTTATCAAAGTTAAGTGCTGTAAAGTCAAATAGAGGGACTAAATGTGCTTATGCAAGAGTGTAACACAGAATTCCATGAGTCACCTTCCCATAAATAAGTGTCAATATGGGCGGGTCAGGTTTATTTTCCTGTCATGCAATTGAGAATCCCTAACATTTCACTGAAAGATTGAGACTGTTAGATCTTTATTTATATATTTCAGCCTTGGAATAGTTAAAAAAAAAATGTCCAAAAATCATATCCAGGGCATGCATGGCTCTATTGAATGTTTTGGTAACACTTTAGTTTAGGGTCCAATTGTCACTATTAACTAGAGCCAGACCGATATATCGGCAGGCCGATATTATCGGCCGATATTAAGCATTTTCCATACTATCGTTATCGGCAGTTATAATGGCCGATAAATGAATATTTCAAAAATAAATTAAAAACGGACGAAACACGAAACACTTCTTTTTTAGTTAAAACTCATAAATAACTACAAATAACTAATGTTAGGGAAATTTGTTAATGTTTTGTTGCATGTTTCTGGATTTTTTTTTTTTTTTAAATATCGGCCGATATATCGGAATATCGGATTTTAAAACCAACAAATATTTGTATCGGCATCGGCCTTCAAAATCCATTATCGGTCAGGCTCTTAACTAGTTTTTTATTAGCATGCATATTGTCTGTATATTAATACTTATAAAGCAAATATTAATACATGACCATATTATACCTACCTTAATCCCAGTACTATTATTAAGCAGTAATTAGAAGTTTACTGAGGCAAAAGTCATAGTTAATAGTTAGTTAATATTGAGAATTGGACGTGAATCTTAAGTGTGATTAATGTTTTTAAACAGCACATGGATATAAATGTGGGCTCTACATTTTTTATTTTTGAACATCCAGTTTTTCTATGATATCTGAAATGATTTGATACCAAATTTTCAAATGGATTGGTGGTGCACATAGACACTTTAAAGAAAGGTAGCACAAAATGTCCCAGGCCGTGCATTTCTATCGTTTTGCTTCACAGTTTTCATTCATATTGACTGTGCTTGACATAATTAGCCACAAACAGATTTTAATGACAACAGAAACATACAACTGATTGTAAACTAATCCTGAGAGAGGGTAAATTTTTAGGACTATTTTAAAGAAATTTGTGTACTTTTTTTGTGTGTGTGGTCTCATTTTAATAGCCTAGAAGCTCCTGGGGGTTCTTGCAGGGGTTTGAGTCATGACCACTGAAGACTCCTTAGAGCATTTCTTGGAAGAGGCAGAATTTTTAACTGCCAGATTTCCGTTGTTTCACAAACTAAACCATTCTCATGTAATCACTAAAAAGTCCTTTTCCTGTTTCTTCAGATTTGTTTTTATTGCATTAGAGCTATTATTAGTTTATTGCCACATTTCCATTAGAGCTGTTGAATTGCACCAGAGGTCTTACAGTCTAGTCTATGTTCAGTTATTCACTGGAAAGCAAGATCTTGAAGCGCTTCCTTTTGTACAACATGTGTAGGTCCATGTAAAGCATTGCCCATCTGTTTTGCTCAAGTTGACAGATTACTTGTTTTCGGCTGCTTAAATTCTAAATCTATCTTGGTGTTTTGTGTTGTGGTTGTACAGATAGTGAGGAGGATGAATTAAGTTCCACCTGGAGTGAAATGGATCTAAGGTAGGAGAACCAGACTTTACAGCATGTATATGTCCCATATTCCAAAATTGGGGTTACTAACCACATATTGGGTCTTAAAGGAGTAGTTCACTTTTAAAAAAAAACTTTTGCTGATAATTTACTCACCCCCATGTAATCTCAAAAGAAATTAAGGTTTTTGATGAAAACATTCCAGGATTTTTCTCCATATAATGGACTTCAATGGGAACCAAACGGTTCAAGGTCCAAAAGACAGTTTCAGTGTAAACTGTTCAAAAGGCTTTAAACGATTACAGACGATGAATAAGGGTCTTATCAAGCGAAACTTTAAAATAAATATAACAAAGTTTAAGTTTTATAAGCTCAAATGGTCGCCTTGCTCTGTTCTGTGATGCTCTCCTGTTCGAACTCGTTTATCAAAATGAATCTTTTTTCATGTCATTTGGTTCATTCAACGAACGAAATGAATGAATTGACTCATACAAAGATTGGTTCATTTTGATAAACGAGTTTGTGTTCGACTTCAGTTTGCACTGAACCTTGAAACGTTTGGTTCCCATTGAAGTCTATTATATGCAGAAAAATCCTGGAGTGTTTTCATCAAAAACCTTTGATGAAAATTTCTTTTCGACTGAGGAAAGAAAGACATGGACATCTTGGATGACATGGGCATGATTAAATTATCAGCAAAGGTTTTTTTTTTTTTTTAAAGTGAGCTCCTTTAATTCAGTCTATCACCTCTGGCAGTATTTTGTTTGTGGAAAGTCTTACAAATGACCATTATATCTCAGTTATCATTTGCTCTCTCTCTCTCTCTCTCTCTCTCTCTCTCTCTCTCTCTCTCTCTCTCTCTGTCTTACTTTCAGGAAACTTGGGAGGACAAAAAATAGGAATTCTAAATTCTACAGTAAGTATCTGTTTGTTTGTTTTCCTGTTATGCAACACATGGCTGATCTTTACATGTACATGACAATGTACATAGTTATAACAGATGATTAGTGTTTAAAGTTCATTAAAACATTACAAAGGCTAGAACCTTTTTACATGGCCCTCTGTACTCATTGTCCTGTGCATAATATGATTGTAACTGGATGTAATGTGTAAAATCTATTAAATACATGGTTCCTACATGAGTTATAGTTAAAATGTTCAGAGCAGTAAAAGTTTTGTCATTCCTAACTATGCTACTTTGCTAGGCCTCAAGGCAAAGAACAGGTTTGTGCTTGCACGTCACTTGGAACTGCAGATGAACAGCTGCAAATACTAACTTGCAATTACAAAATGGATTTTCATGGATGTTTGTGCTTGTACAACTTGTTTAGCTATTCTAATTTTTCTGACCTGCTACTTGTACTCTGTTCTTAGGGTTGTGAAAAGCAGAAAAAAACGATGCTAAATCCGAATAATACAAAATGCAACTAAACATAAAGTTATGCATAGTTAAATAAAACAAACTAAATATATTTAGTCACTTTTAAAGGCAGGAGAAAACACTCCCCATATGTTTGGTGCAAATTCAGCTGTTTTTTTGGTAAAAGCTATGCCTAATGCCTCAACTCAAGGTAAAAGATATGACCCAGTTTGCATTAAACACAAGATCAATTGCAATGAAAATAAACATGGCTGGTTTGTGCCAACCTCAATGTATTTTGTACGAATTATCGGTTGCTTATGAAGTTCCTTGTAATATTAATAAATGGCATTGTTTGATTTTAAGGACATTTGTTTATTTTGTGTAAGTAAACATTTTAGTACCTCACTGTAAAAAGTGATTAGTTGACTTAACTTACAAAAGTGAGGAAAACCCATTGCCTTATAATGAACGCCCCCCTGTAGTCAATAATTGTCTCCCTTTAAATTCAACTTTTATCACCAAAATGACATATTTAATTGTTTTTCCTTTAAAAAATGTCTTCATGCCTTAAAATAGCTTGAATGTAACTTTACAGCATTGACATATATTATATATATTTTCACCACAGGAGGACCAATGGGTTTTCCTACCTTTTTTAAAAGTTAAATCAACTGATCACTTTTTACACTGATATCCAATATAAAATCAGAGTCTAGGTAAGAAGCACTGCTCTATAACCATATAGATTATGATATCTCTGTCTCTTTCTCTCGCAGACTCTCAGTTGTATCAGGAATACAGTGAGGTGGTCCAGAACCGAGAGATCCTGCTGTCTCATACTGATTCGATATCAATAAGTGGAGATATCCGTTCATCTTCTTCTCCAAATCATTCCCCTAAGCTATCACACAGACCTCTCCCACCTCTCCCTCAAATCATCCACCACACTCTGCCTCTAACCAACACCTTTAAAAGTCTCACTGTGCCTCAGAAATCTTTAAACAGACCACCTTCCCCTCACCTGTCCATCTCTGCCTCCTCACCCACACTGTGGCAGGAGCTCCCGGGAGTGAGGAACAGCCCAGATTTTGGGGAACTCAATGAAGATGCGAGACGTCTGCAGGAGGTAGAATTATTCATTCAGTATCACCTAACATTGCATAAAACTCAGTTGGCACGAAAAACTAAGGGGCATTTACATGACACCATTTTCAACTAAAAATTGAAAATATTGTATGCGCTTTATTATTTACACAATAACGTTTTGGAGGCCTGAAAACAAACTTTGTACATAAACTAAGTGCAAGTTTTTAAAACCGATATCGTTGTCGTCTACCAATATATAAAATGGTGATGCAATGCGTATGTATATTACATGTTCAGTCTGTAAATGCGTAGTGTGTTTTTACAAATTGACATCGCCAAAACACAAAGGCTAAACTTTCCCGCTTTTAGTACATCGTTGTCGTGTAAAAGTGCCCTAAGTCATACACTTAAAAATATATGAATGCCATTATGCTAGGTAATAACGTTTCAAGTATACAGTATTTTGACAGACTGATCTCATGAAATGGCGTATGTATGACACGCCAATTCGTATTTCCATTTTTGGAGTGCTATCAACACGCATAATCGCTTTTCAGAGTGTTTATGAACGCCGTTGAATAAGGCCTTGAAATAGGTTTACACGAGGACGCTCGCGGGTGAAAACGTACAAATATTTTATTGGATGTGCCTTTCGTTTACACGGCGACTGCGTTTTTGGGGCTTAAAAACGCAAAAAAGTGAAACCATCCTCCAGAGTGGAAATCTTAAAAACGCTCCACCGCCGCGTTCCCGTGTAAAGTGTGAAAACGGAAAAGTCTGCTAGACAGGGAAGGTTGTACGCAGGCGCGCGGACTTGGTGTTGATGTGTGGCAGTGCTCCACATCGCCACCTAGCCGCCTGGAGTGCACAATACATCGAATTTCACACACTTTCGCATCACCATATGCCTGCGGATTTCCCACCCATAACGCGTGTCTAAACGCAGAATAAAAAGTGATGACGCAATGCCACTTTTGCGTTTTCTTTTCAGATCGTTTCCATGTAAGCATAGCCTTAACGTTACATTACTGTATAAATATATGACCTGCCCCAACCCCGTCCCTAAACCTACCCATCACTGGGGTTAATACCATTTATGAGTCTGCCCCTACCATCCTAGGAAAAAAATATCGCTCCCCAGATGTAGATCTACATTTTGCTTCGTTTCGTTCTGACATTTAACAGCATGTACATGCACGCAGAATCACTCGGACATTTAACGGCGTAGACATACACGCATACACGTGGATAGCTCAAAATGCGTTTAGGTAACATGCATGTTTACGCAAAAGTCATGATGTCATGTTGATTTTGAAGACAAACAACCAGAAGAATTTACAGAAGAGAATCTACTATGATATTTTGTTATCAAATGTGATGAAATTCATACATATTTAAGCTTGACTTAAGTGTCCACTGTACACACAATCTGGACAATATAGAATTGTCAGAAAAGGTTTGTCAATAAGATATAAAACAACATTGTGAAACATTCATTTTTATTAGTAAAAACATAACCATAAATAATCTATATTTTTCAGGTGAGGTTTGAGGTCGTGACCTCTGAGGCATCATACTGCCGCAGTTTGGACATCGTAGTGGAGAACTTTGTAATGTCCAAGCAGCTCAATGTTATCCTGTCTTCACAAGACAAAAACTGGCTGTTCTCCAAGCTAAGTGAAGTTAGAACCGTCAGTCACAGGTTAGAATAATGTCACTGAACAATAACAGAGTTACTGAAGAAAAATGTTCAGTTCTCTATATCTACTGTGTGTGCTGCTGACACCATTTGACAACTTTGACTCATTAAATGTGCATGAAATCTTCATCTCCAGCCAATCATCTTCCAATTGAACTCTGACAACATCCTAGAGTCAATTCTAAATTGTCTGCTCTTATGCCACTAATATATGGTTCTTTTTATTTAGATTTCTGTCTCACCTGGAAGAAACAGTAGAGAAGGACATAATGCACTTTACCGTCTGCAACATCATTATCAAACACTGTCCAGTATTCCGAAAAGTCTATGTGCCATACCTTACCAACCAATCATATCAGGACAAGACGTATCAAAGATTAATGTGAGTGTTTGCAATTGTTTAAAGTGGAAATGTGCTTTACTATGGAAGCTTGTTTCCGCCACTGAACATAAAAATAAAATAAATAGTTGTGACTTTTTATCACACAATTCTGACTTTTTTTCTCACAATTGCGAGATAAAAAGTCAGAATGGCGTGATATAAAGTTGCAATTGCGAGTTAAAAAGTCAGAATTGTGAGATATAAAGTCAGAATTGCGAGATACAAAGTCAGAATTGTGAGATATAAAGTCAGAATTGTGAGATACAAAGTCAGAATTGCGAGATATAAAGTCAGAATTGCGAGATACAAAGTCAGAATTGCGAGATACAAAGTCAGAATTGCGAGATATAAAGTCAGAATTGTGAGATACAAAGTCAGAATTGCGAGATATAAAGTCAGAATTGCGAGATACAAAGTCAGAATTGCGAGATATAAAGTCAGAATTGCGAGATACAAAGTCAGAATTGTGAGATACAAAGTCAGAATTGCGAGATATAAAGTCAGAATTGCGAGATACAAAGTCAGAATTGCGAGATATAAAGTCAGAATTGCGAGATACAAAGTCAGAATTGCGAGATACAAAGTCAGAATTGCGAGATACAAAGTCAGAATTGTGTGATATAAAGTCAGAATTGCGAGATACAAAGTCAGAATTGCGAGATACAAAGTCAGAATTGCGAGATACAAAGTCAGAATTGTGTGATATAAAGTCTGAATTGTGTCATATAAAGTCAGAATTGTGTGATATAAAGTCAGAATTGCGAGATACAAAGTCAGAATTGCGAGATATAAAGTCAGAATTGCGAGATACAAAGTCAGAATTGTGAGATACAAAGTCAGAATTGCGAGATACAAAGTCAGAATTGCGAGATACAAAGTCAGAATTGCGAGATATAAAGTCAGAATTGCGAGATACAAAGTCAGAATTGTGAGATACAAAGTCAGAATTGCGAGATATAAAGTCAGAATTGCGAGATACAAAGTCAGAATTGTGAGATACAAAGTCAGAATTGCGAGATATAAAGTCAGAATTGCGAGATACAAAGTCAGAATTGCGAGATATAAAGTCAGAATTGCGAGATACAAAGTCAGAATTGCGAGATACAAAGTCAGAATTGCGAGATACAAAGTCAGAATTGCGAGATATAAAGTCAGAATTGCGAGATACAAAGTCAGAATTGTGAGATACAAAGTCAGAATTGCGAGATATAAAGTCAGAATTGCGAGATACAAAGTCAGAATTGCGAGATATAAAGTCAGAATTGCGAGATACAAAGTCAGAATTGCGAGATACAAAGTCAGAATTGCGAGATACAAAGTCAGAATTGTGTGATATAAAGTCAGAATTGCGAGATACAAAGTCAGAATTGCGAGATACAAAGTCAGAATTGCGAGATACAAAGTCAGAATTGTGAGATACAAAGTCAGAATTGCGAGATATAAAGTCAGAATTGCGAGATACAAAGTCAGAATTGCGAGATATAAAGTCAGAATTGCGAGATACAAAGTCAGAATTGTGAGATACAAAGTCAGAATTGCGAGATACAAAGTCAGAATTGCGAGATACAAAGTCAGAATTGCGAGATATAAAGTCAGAATTGCGAGATACAAAGTCAGAATTGTGAGATACAAAGTCAGAATTGCGAGATATAAAGTCAGAATTGCGAGATACAAAGTCAGAATTGCGAGATACAAAGTCAGAATTGCGAGATACAAAGTCAGAATTGTGTGATATAAAGTCAGAATTGCGAGATACAAAGTCAGAATTGCGAGATACAAAGTCAGAATTGCGAGATACAAAGTCAGAATTGTGTCATATAAAGTCAGAATTGCGAGATAAAGTCAGAATTGTGTGATATAAAGTCTGAATTGTGTCATATAAAGTCAGAATTGCGAGATAAAGTCAGAATTGGGTGATATAAAGTCAGAATGGCGAGATATAAAGTCAGAATGGCGAGATACAAAGTCAGAATTGCGAGATATAAAGTCAGAATTGCGAGATACAAAGTCAGAATTGTGAGATACAAAGTCAGAATTGTGTGATATAAAGTCTGAATTGTGTCATATAAAGTCAGAATTGGGTGATATAAAATCGCAATTCTGAGAAAAAAAGACAGAAGTGCGACTTTTTATCTCACAATTATGACTTTTTTTTCTCACAATTGCGAGTTAAAAAGTCAGAATTGTGAGATATAAAGTCAGAATTGGCTTTATGCCCAGTTGCACTACTTCCTGAACTTCAGCCAGCTTCTTGTTTCCTGTCTGCCATTATTGGCCAAATTGATTAATTCAGGTGTGTCTGATTATTGTTGCCATGACAACTGAGGTCAGGCACACCTGGATTAATCAATTTGGCCAATAACTGCAGACAGGAAAGCGCTATATAAATACTTTTCTTCTTTTATTCTTGTCCATACGATTTCTTTGATTCTTTCCGCCATCTCTCATAGGGACGAGAGTCATGAATTCCGTAAAGTTGTGGAAAGGTTAGAGCGCAACCCGGTTTGTCAACGACTGCCTTTACGATCTTTCCTCATTCTGCCGTTCCAAAGGATCACTCGCCTCAAACTGCTAGTGCAGGTAATGTCTTCATTGGTCCTGTTTAAATCTTAATCTACAGTATGTTCGAATGTTTTCCAAATAAGTCACTGGTATATCAACACGATCATCGATGCTCTCTTTTCTTTATCGGTAGAATATAGTAAAGAGAACCGCTCCAAAGACCAAGGATGAAGCACAGGCCATTAAGGCCATGAAACTACTTGAAAAGGTGAGACTACTCTTTATGTACTTGAAACAATGTGGTTATGTCACCCACATCTCCGCATTGGAATTTCTTATCAGTTATCTCAGTTTCTTGCTGCAGTATCTCATGCTTCTTTGCTGCTTTACAGATGATCCAGGAAAGTAATGAAAGCATCTCTCAAATGAAGAACATTGAGTCACTTGTGACTCTCAATGCCAAAGTTGACTTTGAGTGTAAGGTGAGCATGATACAACTTCATTTCATGCCATCTAATTAATGCCATCTAAGTAATGATATTTATAATGACTGTATTTTGTTTGTGTCCGTTAGACTCTTCCATTGATCAGTCAGTCCCGCAGACTTATACGGGAGGGACCTGTGACTGAACTGATAGACTTTCACCTGAGAGACAGGGAAGATGAAAGAAGTGCTTATATGCACCTTTTTAACGACTATCTCCTGCTCTCTTTGCGGAAGGAGTATGTTTGACCTTAACATCCATTTCTCAATTGTCTTTCATATTTTTTGAAAAGATAAATATTTATGCTGCAACTACTGTATGCTTAACTTCCTTTTTGCAGAGGGGGTAGGTTTACAGTTATCGACCATGTTCCTGTGTCAGAGCTGCGGGTTGAGAACTGCAGGTTCAAACTGCATTCCTTACAGAAAAACCTATTCCGTCTGCACATGCCACCAAAAGCCTTGCTTTTGAAGACGGAAACCCAGTAAGTCTTACAATGTGTATGTTTTTTTATGAAGAATTCAGTTGCACTTTCAGTCTTGTAAACATGCGATGGCTGCTGTGTGCACATGCAGAGACTATTTATATAGAGACATGCCACTTCCTCAATCCTTAATACAAATGTATAGGGAAAACCCGTAACACCAAAGATGGCGGTTGTATGCAAATGCCCCGCCCCTCCCCTCCCGTCTGCTTTTAACGGTCAAGCCGGGAAACTTTTAAGCCTATCATCTGGTTCCACCGACGCATGCGGTTTGCAGCTGAGGTTTGCGACAGCGGAAAATACGTTACTGCTTGAAAAGGCGTGTATGTGCGTGTTGTGTAAATATCAGACATCCCAAGTCTCCCAGAAGTTCCGGGAGTCTCCCGCAGATTGATGGCGGCTCGCTGATGACCGCAAATTAGTTCAAATCTCCCAGAATCTAGAGCGAGCGAGCAAGAGCGCGCACATACTGTGCTTCAAACTGTATAGAGTGCGCGACAGAGAGCGAGAGAGCCCTTGCGCATGCACAGTAAAAGTATAACCTGTGGGAAAAACAGCGTTTTAAACCTTATTTTGGGGCAAAGTCATCAAACTTTTTCAGCGATTTTTATCATATTTTATTACTGTTTCTATACAAGCAGATTTTATGTCCCGGTGACAAGTGCAGTTCTGACTCTCTGCCCATTCATTTAGATAGGAGCCTGGTCTTGTTAGTCCGAAAAAGCTGCCCGGAGGCGTTGCCAAGATGGCGGCCGAGTGGCATGACTTGCCTAAAAGGACTTTGATACTGCTCCATAGGGCTTTGATTATGAGGCGTGTCTTAATCGAACCAGGAAAAAAAAAACTCTGCACTCAATTGGATAGACCTACTACCAATCAGAGCAACGCAGTGAGTGACGTATGTTGAGCAAGTTATCAACAGAACTGAACTGCACGCACTCTGGAAAAAGTATTTAAAAGAAAAATTAGTGTTAACAACCTTTGCCGGTGTTGCGAAAATAATTTAAGGATTCGCGGAGTACTTGCAAACTCGAAAAACATTTTTGAACGAAATAGAAAATGTGAATGTATATACGAACAAGTTCTCCGTTTAGGATTAGATCTCGACAATAAAGCCAACAAATCTGCTCGCGTTTGTCGATCCTGTCTCAACTTGCCTTCAAAATGCCTTTATTGCAGTTCTTTGTTCGTCTTTTAAAATGAATGCGCCGTCGATTTATTCTAAAACAGACACGATAGCGTAATCTATACATCTAAATTCTTCAGCTGCAGTCATCTTTGTTGTAAACCAGTTCAAACCAAGTGCTTGATGATTACGTAACCGCAGATCATCTGTCCATCATCGTATAAAGCCCGCCCTGGCAATTTGATTGGTCCGACCATTTTTTTTACTAATCATAATTACTCCTCAATGGATCGAGTCCAGACCGAACTTCCCGACCAAAAAATGTTGTGGGCGGGGTTTGGGCTGGCATCCAGGCTAATGTTTAACAACCAAACACACACAAGAAGTGATAAGGAAATAACGCCAGATTACTCGAATGGGCTATATGCACGCATAAGTTCCGCATTTGACGCAAGGATGCTCGTCCATTTCCGGTTGTGGAGATTAAAGCGGAGGAAAACCGAGGAAAACGGGATTATGGCAGAATCTTCAAAATTTACTGTCCTCCCGTCTTTGAAACGAAACGTACATACGTTTAGATGTAATTTTATATATAGTTATGTTTATTTAATATAATTTTAAAAAGAAGCATAAACACAACGAGGGGTGTCTGTTTTGTCTGTTTTGTCTGTTTTTGTGACTAACGTTTCTTTAGTATAACCATGCAGTATAAAATTCAATATAAATTCTCAGTATGGCACTGGACTGTACGATCGGCGGAAGTTATCGAGCATCCTTACACCTTCACCAGACATAACGGCGTGCATAGAGCCCATTGTTTTTAAAAATTATAGCCCGCAAGATGCTTGCGATCCAAATAGTCATCATGTTCTGTTTTCCGGTTTGTATTTCCACAGGATAAAGGTAAGATCTTACAGATTTATGGATGAAACACTCGTTTTAAAATCTTCCCAGTCTATTGACATTTATTATGACATCCGCTTCAAACATTACAAAGTTCATGATAACTTTCGATAACTCTTCAACAAGTAAAACCACGTCACCAGCTAATTATTCGTCGACAGCCCGTTCTCATACCAAGGCGTCATCTAACTGACGCTTTTGATCATGCGTCAACATCCGACGCACATGGCACCCTTTAGCGTCAAGTGGTTGCGCCTCCTAGTGGTCTAACACTAACCCTACCCCAAACCTAAACCTACCTGCGTCATCTAACTGACGCTAAAGGTTGCCATGTGCGTCGGATTTAGCCGCCATGGTCAAAAGCGTCAATTAGATGACGCCCTAGGATGAGAATGCGATGCGAATTTTAAAGTCACAATTCGAAAGATGGCTGTGCGCTCGTTTTCACGGATCTGTGTGAATGGGGATAATTTTGACAACATTGTCTGTATGCGAAAAACACAAAACTTTTCCGTTTTAGTACATCATCGTCATCATTAAACGTACCAGAGATTTAATACACCTGAACTAGCTCTTCAGGATCACTAGAAACTTTCATGCAACTGTCTTGGAGCTAAACACTTGGAAAGTGGCCATCCAAGAGCAGAATTGGACATCCCTGCTGTAGGTTTTCATAATTTGTAAAATTTGTCACTCGGAAAACGTTATTGAATTTATGTTGTTCAATCAGGCAGTCTAGTGTTTTGCTATCTGGTTGAGAAGAATGATGCATTAAACTAATCTGTACCCTTCTTCTCTCAGAGCTGATAAATTGCGCTGGATATCAGCACTCTCACGTCCTTATCCTGAGGTTGACTTCAGTGCAGTTCAGGGTATGTTCCACTTCCTGCTCTTGCAATGTCAAAATAAATATTCTAATGCTAACAATATGAATTTCACTCTTTTCCCATTTGCAGACTTTTCACAAATGCAGTGCATCCGAGCCTTTGCTGCCCAGCAGCCAGATGAACTCAGTTTAGAGAAAGCTGACGTTCTATTAATTCACCAGCAGAGTAGTGACGGTGAGTTATAACACTAAACACAAACACATAAAGGAAACATTCCTCTCTAAAGCATTATGAATAGAATTTATTTTTCTATCGCTACACCTGAGGCCAGCTCCGTTTGGTTTCTAGAACAGTACACATACCACGTGCACAACATTACTATTGAACATTACCACGTTTAGACTACGTTGTTGTTACAAGGCCAGTTTTTCTGGAGCAACCTAAAGTTAAAAGGTTAGTTCACCCAAAAATCACCCACTCAACCTCGTGTCATTTCATCTTCAGAACACAAATGAAATCTGAGAGCTTTCTGTCACTTTATTGACAGCTACGCATCTACTTTTTGACGCTTTAAGAGATCGCAAATCTTATTCAAATGAATCAAGAGGTTTAGTCCAAACTTTCTGAACAGACTCGGCTTTTGTTCACTTTGCTCAATGGTGATAGTTCATGGATCACAGAAGTCAACATGGTTTGAACCTACAACTTTGGTTAAGCTCATCTTTAACCACAAGATTGTAGCACTAAGAACTAAAGTGTCATGGTGATGATGTACAGAATTGCCAACAGAGCCTGCATTAGCCTTTTTGTATAGTTATTGTCTAGTCTTGGAACTTCCACTGGAAGTATATAACCAACATTATGAGACTAATCTCCACTGTTGATGCAGAAGAGATTTTGGGGAACTAGTAGTGTAAGCGTATGCTGTTTTACAATTCTGCAGTGTATACCATGAACACAAAGGGATATGGGACACTTATTTGTAGTAGTCTAAGGTCCAAGAACTTACTACAACTTCAAGCTTTTTCAAGTGAGTTCATGTACTGTAGATCGTAATCATCATCTACGTATACCTGTGTATGGTGTAAGTGCCAGTCACAAATTTAGAGGAACTTCTTTTGGCTTAGTTATACTATAACTACTACTAAAGACCTCCAGAACATAGTCTGTAAAATGCCTTAAGCCTGTTTGCGATGATTCTACAAGCCCTAACAACATTTGCAAAGGTTAACTGGCTCTTATCTCGCCTGGTCAGCTAAAACAGACTATCAAGCATTGTCTGTTTCCCTGTTCCACCGGTTGAATTGCATGGTCTTGTCCTCGGCAGATCATTTCACAGCATGTTGCTTCAAGCCATCTAGATCAGTGTTTAACAACCCTGTCCCTGGAGCCTACTCCCAACAGTGCACATTTAGGATGCCTCACTTATCTGACAAATCTCTCCTAATGCGGGAATGGGCAACTTCAGTCCTGGATGACCACTCTGCAGAGCTTAGTTCCATCCCTAATCAAACAAACCTGCGGGTCATTTTCAAACAATCCTAAAGAGTTTGGTTTCAGGTGTGTTTGATTGAGGATTGAGCTGAAGGCAGTGGGTTTCAATCCTGGGCTGTGTTCGAAACCACCCCCTATACTCTCAAAAATAAGGTACTATTTGAGGGAACAGCCATTTGTGTGGACGTTATTGGGTGCATTCATTTAATCCCAAAATGCATCAGAATAACAAGTGTACAACTAATGTACACTCAACTGCCAGAGAATACCCATAATGCACTGTGAGGGTTGCGCCGAATGAATTCCCGAATCATCCATCCATCCATTATCTAAACCGCTGGTCCAATGTGGTTACAGCGTAATATCAAAATATCATCCAGGTATAATATTTTTAATTGATTATTAAATTGTTTATTTAAAGTTTGAACACAGATATTTCATGTCAGAGTTCACAATAAATCTATTCATTACTACTGGAGCTACCATTAAACAGCAAGCACAAACTATACAAAAGCAGCAAAAGCTTTCAGTGCACTCAGTGTCTAAATTAACTCACTGGTTTTCATTCGCTCCTATATTAGTAGAGTAATGTAGGGAAAAATGAATGAGGCTATATGGGGTGATTTTGAACACAGCTCCTGAGGACCCATCACTCTGCACATTTTGCTCAAAAGGTTCCTTTAGCTGAACTAAGTGGCTGTGTCCGAAATTGCATACTCTCTGGAGTAGTAAGTTACTACACAAGTACTTTTTTTACTCTCTAAATGTTCAATCCTGCTTACGGATGGGCCAACTTCCTGCAAAGTTTATCTCCAACACCTGCCTGGAAGTTTCTCGTGATCCTCCTGAGGACCTCAGCTGCGTCCGAAATCACATACTCTCTTGAGTAGATGTTTATTTAAAAAAAGTAATTCACGACCGTCAAAAAAAGTATGTTATTAGTATTCATTTGTTTTAGTATAAATGTAATTCGGATGTACTACATCTGCCATGCTGTCATTATCATGTGACCTACTTACGTCGCTTCACTGCCATTATAAGTCTCCTCCCATGGCCTCATGGGATAGTAAAGTGTCTATCATATGCAGTAAGTCATTTGGGTACTTTTTGTCTACTCTTTTATGAGTCCTGTGAATTCGATCACTTATTTTGTCACATACTGTATGCGATTATGGCAAGCCGTTTTAACTTTTAGTTATTTCCAGGATATGAATTCTTGATATCAACAATTCAATTCTTAATCTCAACAATTACATTTTTGATATCAAAAATTGAACTTTTAATGTCAACAATTGTATTTTCACTAGTGAAATGTCACCATAGGCTGCCATTCAAAAACTATTATTGATATAAAGAATTGATTTCTTACTAGTCGAAATTCGAATTTCACATATCAGAAATACAACTAGTAAAAACCTTTATTTTTGATATTAAGTATTCAGTTGTTACTAGTTGAGATGTCTATTCTTGATATCCACAATTTAATTGCTACTAGTAACAATGTTAATTTTTGGTATCATGAATGTGATTGTTACTAGTACGAAAGCCATTTTAGATATCTGAAATAATATTGATATTAGAAATATATTTTCAGATATCAAGAATGATCATTTTTACTAGTACCAATTGAATTGTTGATATCAAGAATAGACATTTCAACTAGTGACAATTTAATTATTGATATAAAGAGTAGACATTTCAACTAGTAACAATGTAATTATTGATATCAAAAATGAGATTTCTACTAGTAAAAAATCAATTCTTGATATCCACAATTTATTTTGAATGGCAGCCTATAGTGAAATTTCACTAGTGATAATACTATTACAGATATCAGCAATTCAATCAAGAATTCATATCATGGAAATGAATAAAAGTTAAAGCGGCTTGCCATAATACGATTTCCGGTGCAGCCCTTGATAAGCTAGTTCAAGAGTCTTTAATCAGGCCTGGAGCAAAACTCTGCTGGAGACTGAATACCTGGAATATCTGGTAAAGGTCAGAAACTGGATTTGGCTGTTAATCAAGACATTTTGTCATTTGCCCTAGAGGGTCATCAGGTGTGATAAACTGTGGCAATTAGAAATAAATTCTAGTCGTGAAAGAATGTTTATTCGCCCACACACTGAATCTGATGAGGTTTCCTGTACACTTGTTCACCAGTATTATCAATTTGACTGACAATTAGTAATTTGAACTGAATTGAGCTCATTTCATAATTGATGAATTTTACACTATTGAATTGAATCAACACTGACTTGAGTTGAATAATATGGTCTACTATAGAGTTGCTTTACAGCATAATCTTGTCTGAGAAGATCATCGTTTACATCATTGATTGTTATTTATTTTCCTAAGTGAAGCTACTTTGAAACAATCTGTATTGTAGAAGCGCTATATAAACAAAAGAGACTCGACAGTACTGATAAGTGAATTAATACTCCTCTGAGCATACAGAACTACTAACAAAACCAGTTCCTATTAGATATGCCAGGCACTATGCTAATGTTGTGTTACAAGTAGACTTATTGAATTGCCAATGAACGTTTTGACAAAAAATCCCTAGAATGAAATTCTCTTCCTTTCCCTCAGGCTGGGTGGAAGGAACCCGTCTGTCAGACAGGCAACGTGGATGGGCCCCCGAATCTCACCTGGAGACAATAGTCAGCGACAAAACAAGAAAGCGCAACCTGCTGGACACCATGAAAATTGCCACTGCTGCATTGTGAAGCCATATGGACATTCTTCAAGGTTCTCAGGCAAACTTATTCAACCACAGTTTTTTTTTAATGTTACTTTAAAGCCTTGTGTAAAAAGAGCTTCAAGAACTTTGGACTTATGTGGGAAGTTTCTATTTATTTTGTGGATGTACTCGAGCTGATATGGGTGATGCGGGCGATATGTCCGCACCCATGTCAGGGTACTCCACACCCTGAGAAAGACTCTGGGATGATGCTGAATTGTGCCAACAGAGCTTCTTGGATATCTCAGTATTTCTTGCAAATGGCACATCCAAATGAGCATCTATGCAAAGTGTTTATGTAAGCATTGTGGAAATCAGACCACCGGCTCGCTTTGTTTTCCCCTTTTATGAGTGAGTTGTCTCACTGAGGAGCAAGGACAGCTGGATATAAGACGGTGAGAAATACGGTCCTTTTCTCTTTCTGACTGGAGCGTCGTGGAGAAAGAGGAGTTTGTTGTGCTCAAGGACACAAGATGCTATTAGGACAAATTTTAACAAATTGTGAACTTTTCTTTTAACAAATTGTGATAATTTTATTCAAGATCATGAATTATACCAGGCTACTTAAAATTGGGTGGAACACTCATGGTTATGACAATGTATATAATTTCTACAATGTACATAATATAGGTTTTTAACTTTAACGATACAAAGTATTATGTTTTCAGGGAATAATTTCATCCCTGTTCAAAGCAGAGTGGCATATCACTGTAATATGCGTTAAAAAATAAACTTTTCACTTGTTTCCTGAAAGAACATTTCAAAGTTTAGCAGATGAGATTTTTAGTTTTATCAAAGTGCACTTTGATTTTTACTTGTAATTACGCAAGACCTTAAGGAATATGGAACAAGAACGAAAGAGAACAGAGGCACAGGATTCAATAGGAAATCAAATGTTTTAGTGTCATCTACAGTGTGCAGAATCAATACGAATTCATTTCATAAATGTTTCTCTCAGTATGACAAGAAAAGATCATACCATAAACAGCTTCTTGGCTACATGGGGAGAGAGAGAAAAAAAACATAACAGTGAAAAATGGCTTTAGGATCAACTGAACTGTACATGAAATATCCACAAATTATTGGTTCCTGAGGCAAAACTGAAATCTACTTGAGCCCTGACCCGTAATCAAAGGTTACAGAGTAAAATGACATTAAAAGTTCAAGATAATGCAAACAAAACATTTAGGTTCAATTAGTTAACATTAGTTAATACATTCGATTTTATGAACTAATGGATTTTTTTATTATATGCTTTTTTTCTATTTTCAACCTTCTTTAGTGTACTAGGGAGCTGATTGAGATGCATCCATAGTAAAACATGTGAAAAATAGTGTTTTTGAACATTCAAAGCATGAAAACCTATTCTAATAGACCACAAAAACAAAATCAAGACTTTGTAAAAGGGCAAAATAGGTTAACGTTATTTTCCACAAACATTTTTAGCATTAAATGTTGTATTATGAGCAAAAATGAACCATGGATAAAAGTGTGTTTACAAGTTAACACTAACCTACATTAATATATGCTCAAAATATTATTCTTCAAATTTAGTTAGGACACAACTTATGTATTAACTAACGTTAACAGACTGAAGCGTATTACAGTGTTCCTGAAAACATTATCTGATGGTAAGGAATAGGAAATTTGTGATAGAGAAACTTGGCATTTTTATTAGCCACTTGGAGCTTTAAATATGTGCTCAAAGGAGCCATGAATAGTCTAACTCAAGCTCGCTGCACACTAACAAACACCCAACATGCATCCAGACATATACAGTGAATTCGACAAACACTCATGAGAGCTTCAGCACCACGTGAGACAGGAACTCACTGATGCACCTCACACACACACACACACACCATTATGCGGAACTAGACTAGACCAGAACTATTACCAACTGTTTTAACATGTATCGTCACTGATTTACACTATTTAAACTTTTCACATGCTGAACAGTCAGTGTCGTCTAATAGGAATCAGGGCTTGATTAAGGGAGACACATGCACAAAGACTCCACAAATCAAATCCAATGTGGTCCTAATGTGAACATACAGATGCCGCTTGTGTAGAGTCGCACAGTGTTAAACCGGGAGGAGTGCGTGGGTCTGTGTGCACACTGTTTTAGTAAATCCAACATTTCAAAAGTCTGCAACACTTTCTTTTCGATCATCTCTTTTCAACGCAAGTTACATTGGATCTACATGTCACCTAACTATCATTAGAGTATAAGTAGACAGCTTAACATCTGCTAAAACTTTATTGTGATGCTCCCAAACAGACATTCTACTGACTATAAGCAACTTTGCAACTATGTGTCAACTTATTCAATTAACCCTAACCCCTTTACTACTAACACACTGCGAGCCTTAGCGCTCAATTCCAATTTATTGCTCAGATCCGCTGTTCACATTGGCCAGGTTTGCGCAAAACTTTTGTGATATTTTTCTAAATGTCGATAAAAAACTATTGCAAAATAACGCTGTTTCCATTAATCAGTGTTATGTGACTGAAACAGAATTTTCCTCTTGCGATAAGTCATTCAAAAAAATCATAGCAACGGACGTTGGTGAGTTTACATATCAGCCACCGCACTAGTCATTATTTTTAATCGAAGGAGACTAAGTCATGTTATCCAAGCATTAATAGCAAGGAAATTTCCAGTTATGTGTGCCATAAGCAGCGGTCTGTGGCCGTCACATCACATCTGTAGGTGTAACTTATAGTCAACAGAATGTCTAAAGGGGACCATCAAAATAAAGTGTAACCCAAAAGTCTTTCAGTCTGTCAGGTAAGTGCTATGAGATACAGAGAACAAAGACACACACTTGGGACCACTGAGTGGATCACATGACATGACCCAACCGAGAACTTCAGCGCAACACATAGGCCGACTGCTATAGGGCTGCACAGCACAGAGGGCTGATGTCGTCACTGGACATTTCAGTTTGATGTTTAACTGAAGGGAATTTCTTGAGCTTCAACTAGGGACGTCAATTTACATAAAATTCCCAAAATCGAACTTTGTTTAAAGTGACAGTCAACTAATCGATTAAGCGTTAACCTTAACCTCTTAAATCCGAAGCGGGGGGCGCTACTAAATATCACGTCACTTAACAACCACTTGTTCAACCAACACAAAATAGGTGAATATAGGGAATATGACCATCACTTAGTGCCTTTAAATTTGCTGACATATAAGTGATCTATTTTTATGGCAAATTGCTTTAAATGAAAATGCTATTTGTAAAATCATCGTACATAACAGATACACTTGTATTATGTATTGTTGAAAAGGTTTCAACAAGCATATCTGTTTCAGTTAGAGACAAAGCCGTCGACGCACGTGCAACCATTATACACTTGATGCTTTTGACCCACATAAGACAATGCATAGGTCACAGAGTGACATGACATGTTGCTAGGCTAAAGCTATAGGATTTTCAGGATCCGATTACATCGCTTTGCTTCATAGACATATACACTAGACCTCACCTTGGGGTTCTAAGCATGCGTCAAAACTGCCGCCATCTTGGAACAGGGGTCTTGTCATAGGAAGTAGCTAGGTAAAGCTGCTATCTCTGCCTTTACGTCGAATTCATTGATGGTGGCGGACTTTTGTGCAGCGTATGATGTTCACGGATGAAATCTGAACTAGGAAGAATGTTAAAAAAAAATAAATAAATTTCTGGAATCAATGATAAATACATGTCTGACCGTTGGAACAAACCAAAAAAACAAGAAAAATCGCATTCATGATGGTTTATGGTGATTTTATTTCCGTTAGACCTGTGTCTACTACATTGACGCTGTTGCATTAAAGTGGAGGGGCTCCCCTGTTTCAAAATTGGCGGCTCTATTGACGCATTCGTTCCAATGAACTGCCGTAGCCAAGGTGACGTCTAGTGTATATGTCTATGGCTTTGCTTAATCCACCATTCTATCGATTCAATTAATCGTTAGCATCCCTAGCTTCAACCATAGCAACAATCAATCGGGGTGAGTTTCCCGACAGCAACTATGGTCGCAAGTTCCAGCGTTACCAACATGCTTTTGGGAAACGCACCCCTGAACAGATACTATGAAGTCCATTTTGTGGGTTTGAGAACCAAGTTCTCTTCCAAAAACAGCGAACCTGAAAGCATAAGTGTGCAGCCCAACCGCAGCTGTGAGCATCTATCTCTATGAGTGAGGAAACGGAGGTAATAATAGTAGACTTGGTTCAGAGCACAGTGGATCTGAACAGCACGATGTGGAGATTGAGATGGTAGGTGTGTGTTCTGTGGTACATTAAAATAGTGAAGGGGTTTCACTGTACAGAAGGATGAGAATCACTCCACGAAGTCTTCCAATTATCGATTATCCGTCCCTTTCAACCTGAAGGAGCATAAAAAAAGACAATCCAATGGTCAGTTTTTATGTGCTTATGAAAGTTGTGTTTGTTGATATAGGATTTTGCACCTTAAGTATATGTAAGAATGTGTTTTTCTGAAACTTGCTCGTATCTAACTTAGGAATGGTTATATGAATGATTTACACAAATTTATTCTGCTCATTTTTCCTGATCAAACCCACTGATGACAATACATCTTTCATAAAGCTATATAAAAATCAGAGGGCAGAGATAGCAACAGTAAGAAAAAGTCAGCAAATAGTTTAAATTATTAGTTTATTTCTTTGTCAGTACCTGTTCATATTGGATATTTATATAATACTTATATTTATACGAGTTTTAAATTGTGCATGTTAATTTCCACTACTTTCATTATTTACATTAAGATTAACTTTAAGCGTTGGATGGCAGCAAAGGTAATCTTTAAAAACACAATAGATCTTTAGCAAATCTCAAAATTAATATAAATTTTCTATACTGTCAATTAAGTTTATTTGTAACATTTAAAATTATAATTTTTAATTTTAGTATGCTATTTTTTATTTATCTAGAAAAATTGATTTAAATTAAATTAATATCTGCAATTTTAAACATGAGAACAGTTTTTGGTTTATCGCTATCGGCTGGATATATTTTTCATTTTTAACTACTTAGGCTATTAATTATGTACAATGATTATATTAGAAAATGTGTAAAAAGGACATTTTAAGTGTTCCAATACCCCCTTTCACAAATTACATGTGTGAGCAGGACCTTTAAAAAATACTATTACCAGTAAATTCCTGGTATAAAGCGGTGTATACGGTATGAGCAGATGCGGGGTCAGAACATTCTGATGTAAGAAGTCTGCTTTTGACCAATCATAAAGCTCTGTCAGAAATGGACATAATATAAACATGCGCTAGACAGACGTCTGACCGTAGCGCTGCATCTCACGTTTGAGACCTTGCCTTCATTTCCATTCATCAGTACTGCTACTCTGCAATTACTATTGTGTACTATATAGGGGTGTTACGATACACATATTCGTACTGAACCGTTCGGTACGAGGCTTTCGGTACACATTTTTAAACCGAACAGTTCGTTGCATCACTTTTTCCTGCCGACCAAAATTTTGTTATTTCAAATGTAGGCACGTTGCGCATGGCTAGCGCGCTCATAATGTAAGAGACGCCTGGCGTGACCACAACATTGCCCAACATCAAATGGCAAATGTAATGTGAGCGTAACGAAACTGAGCTACTCGTTATTGTGTGGTTGACGGACCGTTTATCAGTTTGGACCAATGCAGCGTGAGCCGATCTTGATCATCAGCACTGTTAGTACACAGCCAAATCCAGTAAAGAAAACATCTGAATTGGCTTTATGCCCAGTTGCACTACTTCCTGAACTTCAGCCAGCTCCTTGTTTCCTGTCTGCCATTATTGGCCAAATTGATTAATTCAGGTATGTCTGATTATTGTTGCCATGACTACTGAGGTCAGACACACCTGAATTAATCAATTTGACCAATAATGGCAGACAGGAAACAAGGAGCTGGCTGAAGTTCAGGAAGTAGTGCAGCTGGGCATAAAGCCCATTCGCCACTGAAGTAATAACATCGCTGCGAGATCTAGTGAGAAACATTCACATTTCTCCGTTATTAACGAATCAAACCATGCTGACGTGGAAACCAGGAAGAAACTGTGCCATGAATGAACTATCCAGTGTCCACAGATCAGCAACATCACCATGGATTTAGTGTATAACACTACTATCTGTAAGTTTGGCAGGAATAGTAGGCTATAATGCTTTCAAGTAACATCACGTCGGTTTTATTTTGACATTATGAACACAATTGCTGCCCTCAAATTTTAATCTAAACTAAAATAAACCTTTGTTTATAACTACTAAAATATTACATTTCATTTTGTCCAAAGAGCTGTTTTGTTTTTTATGCTCCTAAGAAAAGTCAAGTATAGCTCCATCATTGCTCAAAGTTAAAAAATATCCTACTTTATGATGTTAGTTTTAATAAAAGTATAATTAAAAAAATGAAATCAAGTAAATTTATCTGCCATTTCTTTCTTTTTGCTGTATTGGAAACGTACCGCATTGAACCGAACCGTGAATTTTGTGAACCGTTACACCCCTAGTACCATAGTAACTGCAGTGCTATATTAACTATAATGCGCATCATGTTTTTAAGAGCAAAACTGAGTTCTGTGTGAACATCCTCTTATGCCTGTCACTCAGAAGTAAAAAATAAAAGAAAAAGTTACACTTTATTAAGGTATTTATTAAGCTTTATTAAGGTGCTCTTGTAACAGTGTAATTATACACTGAGTAATTATAATTAAAAACATGTACTTCGTACATAATTAGTGTTTGGTTTTGGTTTAGTTGAATGTAATTATGCATAATATGCAGTTAATACTATAGTAAGTCCATGTAACATGATTTCTACAGAGTTTACTGGTATCTTAGTAATGATGTGTGATCTTGCCAGTAAAAAGAACGCGGTTGCTTGTGTGAACAGCACATTTGTGCATTTACCGTAAATTCGCTCAGATATTATTACTGTAATTTGCTGTGTGAAAAGGGCTTACGATTGCTAAGCGCCTGTATGTATGCATGTATTAATACCTGTATGAGATGGGTAGGAGAAGGTTGTTCTTCTTCAGAGCTTGCACTTTGCTGAGAGTCTGTGGGTCGAGGGCGATGTAACAGCGTCGGGCGTAGTCCAGAAGCTTTTCTTTAGACGGGTCGAACTCGCCCACCTCAGCCACCTTCTCTGGAGCCACCAGCAGAAGCTCAGCAATGGGTGTGGTCGAGGCCACCGTATTACGATCCACACCATGGATCTGGAAGGCCTTGGACATATTCTTTAGCCTCTGGTATGTCACCAGGATCTTTTTATAGCGGAACAATACACCTGCTGAATCTTTCACTGCAACAACAGCAAAAAGGAGAGAAAGAGAAAGAGGAACAAGCCTTCAGAAAGAGAAAAATCACTAACCGGTCATGTTTCCACACTGAATGCTCACACTCACCTCTCTGCCTTTCTCTCCCTCTGGCGATTCTGTAAACCCTCCTCCTCTTCAGAGCGGGATGACTGCCGGAGGGTCTTACAGCTGCGCCGATGTTCCGGAGGGACATGCTGTC